CTCTAACATTGTGCTCTGTGCTCTGGCAGGGACTGCATCCCTCTTCCTGCACATAGACATGCGAGTTAGCCTCTGCTTCTAGGTTGATCTTGGACAAAAGATCCTTTAAAATCTACCCGTTTCTGGAGTCTCTGCCCCTAAAGCATTGTGCTTCTCTCTTGGGGCGATGGCTTGCTTCCCCCTGGGTGTTGTCTATGCAGTGCTAGGGAAACCTGTATCATCCAGACTCCATGCCTGTGGCCCTGCCCCAGTCAGCCCTGCCTCAGCCTCTCAGTAACTTCACACAGCAAAGGCTCTTTCTGGTTCTGGTTATCACCTAGTGCATTTGGGGTGGCAGAACTGTGCTCCACAGTCATTCAGGGACCTAGGCACTAGACAGCCTCTGGGACCTGGGTGTGTGCACTCCGCCCACTGATGGGCAGAGCTGGGACAATCTCGTGGTAGCCGAAGCCACCATGGGCCAGCTCCATCTCCACCTCTGGATGGCTGTGCTGAGGACCTCACTCCCTGCCATCACAGGCCCAGCACTACGGGACTGGACTGGGCTAGAGAGCCCTTCACAGAACTGTGGGGTTTTGAGTGGCCCTTGGAGGCCCAGAGGGCACCTGGCCAGCTCGCTCTCAGGAGTCCTATGTTTTGTGGAGCCAGAAGTGTCCCTTGAGGATGGGGAGATTCAGATCAAAGGTCCAGCCAATCACTGAGCTTCTCTCTTCCCCACCCAGTCCCTATGATGCCAAGAATCCATTCTTGGCCGGAGTCACCACCAACCGGAAACTGAACCAGGGAAATGAGCGGTACCTCATGCACCTGGAATTAGACATATCAGATTCCAAGATCAGGTACTGGCTGCCTCTGCCACCACCCCCAGCCTCCCCCCAGGCCGCCTGCTCCCCTCTCCTGATCCCCACACTTTTCCTTCTAGGTATGAATCTGGGGACCACGTTGCCGTCTACCCTGCCAACGACTCCACCCTCGTTAACCAGATTGGTGAGATTCTCGGTGCTGACCTAAACGTCATCATGTCCCTGAACAATCTAGACGGTGAGTCTGGGAGTCAGGGCGAGTCCCTGGCCCTTTCATAGGCCACCACCCAGGGCTCAGTGCCTGCCCCTCCTTCTTCTGTCCTTAGTGTCCTTGGTTTGCGTATACCTTCTCACCAGTCCCCAGAGCAGCCCCTGAAAGGCAGCGCACCAGAGGGCTGGTGTCTGTCATAGACTCTCGGGCCAGGAAGGGAGCTCTAGTGGGCTGGTCTGAAGAGAGTTACACTTCTAAACCAGAGGCCTCGCCTCTGGCAGTTCGGACCCCTCAGTGACTCCACTGGAAAAGGATGGGCATCTCCTTCTATGGGATTTACAGCCAGGGAACTCCCTGGAGGCTCGGCTAGGAGTTGGCTCTGACCTCTCAGCACTGAGTTGTGTCAGGAGTGTGTACCCAGGGAGTGTCGGCTTGCCTCCCTGTGCACGCGTTTGTGGGTCTGGCTCTGGGCAAGGCGCCTGGCTTTTATGCTTGCAGAGGGGAGATCTGCTGTGGGAGGGGAGGCACTGGTGCTGACTCCTCACCCAAGGGAGTCTGAGCCCCTCCAGGTGAGGAGTGGGGAGACGGTGCCTGGCCAAAAACTGCTCAGCATTGGGGACTACAGGCAGCAGAGCCCCCAAGACAGATCCTCATTCGCATGGGATCCTCATTTTCCCACCCTCCTGGGGGCAAGGCCAGAGCCTGGTTTCTGGGCTAGCAAAGGGGGCCCCAGGGTGCTAAAGCACTGCTTTGTGATCTGGGTGCTGAAGAGCACAAAGTGGGTATGTGAAGTGCCCTCATCCCGTCTGATGGTTTCTATTCTGTATTTAGATATTACATGTAACATAGAAAACAGACCTTCCATAACCAGTCCCCTTGACCCCGAGTCCTGTCCTGACCGGGCCCTCCCTCAGTCCTCGACAGTGCTCTTGGTAGTTTCCAACAGGCTGTTGTCATGGAAACAAGTCCCTGACAGGAGTGACTTGTCCCCTGTCTCCCATCCCCCTCCCAAGTGTGGAGCTGGTTCTTGGTTCTGCTCCCAGCTTTGGTCCAGTTGGGGTGGTGGTGAGGTCGTTCAAAGAATCACACCCTCTCACTGACCGGGAGGGGTGAAAATACAGCCATAGCAAAGCGCCCAGCTGTCCCTGAACCAAGAGGCTGATCGCCGGGTGGGCCAGCAGGGGGCACCCCACCATGGACTGAGCCAGCCCACAGGCAGGTGGGACACACACAGGGCCTGAACCCAGGGCCACGAAGCATCTGCAGAGCCAGTCCTGCTTCCAGAGCCAGCAGGCCCCCTTCCTGTAGAGCCCCCCGACCCAGCCCTGGCTGATCACCCCATCCCTAAAATCCCACCTTCCTCCCACAGAGGAGTCCAACAAGAAGCACCCCTTCCCCTGCCCCACCTCCTACCGCACGGCGCTCACCTACTACCTGGACATCACCAACCCACCGCGCACCAACGTGCTCTACGAGCTGGCCCAGTACGCCTCAGAGCCCAGCGAGCAGGAACACCTGCGCAAGATGGCCTCCTCCTCGGGGGAGGGCAAGGTAGGCCTCGCCCGCGCCCCAGACCTCGGTCCCGAGGCCCAGGCTGAAGAGGGGAGCTGGGGCCTGGTCCCCGAGTCCCAGGCTGAAGAGGGCGGCTGGGGCCCACAGGCTGGTGAGAACCTGCTGAGGGAGCGAGCTGCGGGAGGAGGGGTGAGGACGGAGGTCCTGTTGGGCCTCCCACCTGCCTTCCCGGAAAAGTGCTCCCCTGGCACTCAGCTGTTCTCCCAGCACCTTAGACCCCAGATCCAGCCCCCGCCCCACTGCCGCCCCAACAGCTTCTCACCACACACCTGCCGCACCCCTTCCCAGGAGCTGTACCTGAGCTGGGTGGTGGAGGCCCGGAGGAATATTCTGGCCATCCTGCAGGACTACCCATCTCTGCGCCCCCCCATCGACCACCTGTGCGAGCTGCTGCCTCGGCTCCAGGCCCGCTACTACTCCATTGCCTCCTCCTCCAAGGTAGGGGCAGCCCACCTGCCAGAGGCCTGGCCTGACTCCAGCCTGAGCCTGTGCAGGGAGGTGGGCTGGACTGGGAGGGGGCTGACTCCCCTCTAGCCCACAGGCAGAGAGCTATCTGGAAAGGGGTCACCTGAATAGGGACCAGCTGCGTGTCCAGACTTGGGGTGATAGGCTGGGCTGCTGGGATACAGGAAGGCAGCTGCCCTTCACTGCATGGACTCTAGAGACCAGCTGTGTTTCCAGACTTAGGGTGACAGGCCTTTAGGGTCACATGGGAAGGAGGCCACCACTCACTGCTTGTGTGCCCCCAGGTTCACCCCAACTCTGTGCACATCTGCGCCGTGGCCGTGGAGTATGAGACCAAGTCAGGCCGGATCAACAAGGGCGTGGCCACCAGCTGGCTGCGGGCCAAGGAACCCGTTGGGGAGAATGGCAACCGAGCCCTGGTGCCCATGTTTGTACGCAAGTCTCAGTTCCGCCTGCCCTTCAAGGCCACCACGCCGGTCATCATGGTGGGCCCCGGCACTGGCATCGCCCCCTTCATGGGTTTCATCCAGGAGCGGGCCTGGCTGAAGCAGCAGGGTGAGTGGGGAGCCGGGGTGTAAGGAGGCAGGGACAGGGCAGGGGTGGGGCGTCCATGCTAACAGCCCACCACCACACCAGGTAAGGAAGTCGGGGAGACCCTGCTCTACTATGGCTGCCGGCGGTCCGATGAGGACTACCTGTACCGCGAGGAGCTGGCACAGTTCCACAAGGATGGCACCCTCACCCAGCTCAACGTGGCCTTCTCCCGGGAGCAGGCCCACAAGGTGAGGCGCTGACGGGCCTGGCCAGGGCGGGTGGATGGACAGGCACGGCCAGCGCTGACCCACCCGGCCCACCCTGCAGGTCTACGTGCAGCATTTACTCAAGAGGGACAAGGAGCACCTGTGGAAGCTGATCCACGACGCAGGCGCCCACATCTACGTCTGCGGGTAAGTCAGGTGGCGAGCTCGGCCGCACCTCCTTGGGGTGGCCCCTTTCCAAGCCCTCGGTGTCACCACCCTCTCGCCCCCAGGGACGCTCGGAACATGGCGAAGGATGTGCAGAACACCTTCTACGACATCGTGGCTGAGTTTGGGGCCATGGAGCACGCACAGGCTGTGGACTACGTCAAGAAGCTGATGACCAAGGGCCGTTACTCCCTGGACGTGTGGAGCTAGGGCCGCCTGGCCACCCGTCCCCGCCCCATACCCCATAGACTTGTCCCATGTAATCGCTCTCACTCCCCCGTACTGCCTCCGGGGTGGTTTCTGTCTGGCCTTGGAGGCAGGCCCAGTGACAGAGACTCCTTCCAGCCCAAGATGTGCCCTCCTCAGCACCCCCAGGCTGGAGCACCCCCAGGCTGGACCAGTCTGCCTTCACCAGACAGCCTGGCCCGGGTGCGCGGCCAAGGCCAGGCAGCCCCACATCCTGCGACCATCTCAGGCCCTCTTTGGCTGTGACAGACAAGGGGTTTTTTTTTTTTTCAGTCAAGCCAGGGCCTGACCCTTCATGATTTTCAATGACTGTAAATAATTTTAAATAACCTCTGACCCTTGGAATAAAGAGATCGGTTTTCTGTATCTGTCTGAGCTTGTGTGAGCCAACAGGGGACCTCTGCATGGTTCTGCCCAGTTCAGAGGAGAGACCAGCTGTGTCACCGAAGGTGGGGCTGACACAGCGCTGGCTGCCTGAGGGACAACACACACACACCCCTCAAGCCTCCGGGGTGCCTTCTTCCTTTATTGAAGACCCTGGTCCCAGCTCCCAGTGGAAACTGGCACACCCAGGTCTTCCTCTCCAGCTTAGCCTTCAGGGCCCACAGAGCCCACCAAATCCAAGGGAGGGTGGATGAGACTCTCCCACGTGAGGGGTATCTCCCAGCCCTCAGGCAGTGAGTGACAAGAGACTCCCTCCTGCGGAAGGAGACTGCTCGCTGTGCTGGGAGCCGGGCCTCACTCCTTCTTGCTCTTGATCCCCTGTCTCTGGCTGTGGAATTTCTGGTGCACGACCCGCAGGGTGGTGAAGAAATTGCCGAGGAAGAGGAGGAGGAAGGGGAGGCCGCACATGAGCACCTGGGGGATGGGGAGAAGATGGGGGTGAGGACTGGAGCCTGGTCTGGCTCCCCACTTGCTATCCCAGGAGCCCCTGCTCACCTGCCACTCCTTGCACTCAGGGTCCTGGGCCAAGTGGAACAGGGTCAGTGCATTAAAAAGCTGCCAGAACTGGGGAGACGGCATGGGGGGGTGGGGTTACTATATAGACTCTGGTCCCTGCACCAGGGCAGAGGGTAGACAGACACATGGACGGGGGACACACAGGGGCCACTTACATGTCCGAAGAAAAGAAAGGGCAGCAGGAAGGTGAGGCCCCGCCACATCCAGGACTGGAAGCCCTCTGAGGGAGGAAAGAGTCAGGGTCCCAAACCACCGGATGAGTTTGGGATGCTTCAAGCCGCATCCCCACCCTCCCGGCTCCCCAGAGGCTCCGCGTGGTCCCAACTCACCCACAGTGAGGTCCATGGTGTGCCTCTCGCCCAGCGCCCGCAGGCGGTACAGACAGCCACTCTGGTAGTAATACTGCAGGAACTGCACAAAGCCTGGGGGCCAAGGGTTAGGAAGCGCCTGGAGCCGGAAGTTCTCTTCCTGGCCCTGCCTCTGCCCCTGCCCTCAGGTGACCCCACAGCTGGGAGGGGAAGCTGGGCCACTCACTCTGGTACATAGAGAAGGACAGGAACTGGTTCCGGAACCTCTGGTACATGAGGCCATCAGGCCTAAGGCAAAGAGCGGAGATGTGGACTAAGAGCTTGGGGGCCGTCCTCTCCTCGCCTGCCCCTCTCCTGCCTGCTGAGGCCCCAGAGGTGACCACTCACCACGTCAGCATGACTCCCGACAGGAACGTGGACACGTAGTGATGAAACACCCACCAGCCTTTGATCCTGATGGGGAGGTGCTGTCACTCTCCTGTCCCCGCAGCTCAGGGATGGAGAGTGGGGCTAAAGGGGGAAGAAATCTCTCGGGCCGGCCCAGCTTCCCAGGCTCCCTGTCCCTCCCCACATCTCCCACAGCGGCTCCTGGGGTCCCCCGGCCCCCCACTCTGCGCCCACTCACCGGGAGCCGTTGTTGATAAGTATGCTCTCCCGGATGGTCAGGGTGCAGTAGTACCAGACCAGAAGGAAGTTAAAGGCCGCATCTGTCACCCTGGGAGCGGAGGACAAAGGGTTGGTGCTGGAAAGCCCACAGAGGTCACGGGTCTCGCCCCAAGCCAGGAGCCAGGACGCCCACCTGGAGTTGAGGAGGAAGCGGCAGGTGAAGGAGATGAGGATGAGGATGATGGTGAGGTAGAGCTTGAACTTCTCGTACTCGTCCTTGTAGGCAAACCTGGGGGCAGACAGACATGCTGGGTGCTGGGCCCCACACTGCCCCACCTCCCCTCCACCTGAGAAGGGCCATCTCTGCCCCGGGGAACTAACACAGAGCCAGCATCGGGGAGCAGACCCCAAGACTCAGCCCCCAGAGAAGCTAGAGTGATAACGGGCTCGGGTGCATCGGGGGATGGAATGGAGACCCAGCTCGTAACAACAAATTACTTAGCCTGCTTGCTGAGGAGTGTCACGTTGACGTTACCCAGAACCAGGCTCAGGTACAGCCTAGGGGAAGAGGAGAGGCTTGTCAGCAGAGACCTAAGAACAGAGACGCCCCCCACCCCCCACCCCACCCCGTGGTCCCGGTGAGGCCTGGTCACCATGCCCACAGCTCTGCCCTTCCCACGCCCTTGGCTGCTGCTGCTTCTTGTGCTCCGGCAAGTCAGAACAAACCCAGAGCTGACCCTCCAGGTTTTCAGAGGCAGTAAACTGCGTGGGAGGAGACTGCCCATCTTTCTCTCTCAGAGCCACTGGTGGATTATTAGAACCACGCACCTTTGGGTTGGCAGTGCAGCTCCTTACCAGAGGTCTCTATGGCCTTGGCTTGGAGTCTTTTTTGTCACTGTGTACCACAGAGTTAGAACCAACTCAGCTGGCACCCTGTGCCAGCCTTCCGAGGCAGCACACTTTGCAGGTGGAGCAGCTGGTGGACGGGTGGGAGCTAAGGGCCAACTCCTTCAGAAAACTGATGCCCAGCCTCTGCTCCTCTCCGCTCCAAGTCCTGACCCAAGGGGGGCCGAGCTCCCGCTGCACCTTCTCTGGTTCTCCCAGCACCTCGAAGCTGTTCCCATACCTCCCATGGCCCCTGCGGGCCCCTCTGGACTCAGCTATGGGAGACCACCGTCCATCACGAGTCCCACTGCTCCCTGCCATCTTTACTCCAGGAATCTTCAGTCCTGAGTCCACTTCAAGAAGTTACATCCACAGTCATGCCCCACCCAGAACATGGCCCCTGGAGCCCCTGCTGGTCATTCTGACCTTGAATGCCAACACCCCCACTTTCCCTCTGCGGACCCTTCCCCACATGGTGGCATCCTGGTCTTCCTCTCCTTTTCCAAACCAGCTGGGTCCCTAATGCCCTCTTTCACTTTAACTGCTTTCTTTTTTCTTTAATTAGATTTTATTGTAAATTTATAAAGAACTTGGATTTCCATTCATTCACTGTTGCTCATTTTTCTCCCTGTCTCCCCACCCCCTCAGTTCGCTTTTTTCCTTGGAAAGAAAGTTCTTTCATTATTGTACAGTCGCCCCCACCCCCAAACCACTTTACTACGCAGCTCTTATTCTGGACTCTTGTCATGCCAATAATACCTACTCATATACTGACTGGAAGAGATCTATATTTGTTCCTATCCCAAAGAAAGGTGACCCAACAGAGTATGGAAACTACAGAACAATCTCACTGATTTCACATGCAAGCAAGATTTTACTGAAGA